GACTGTTTCAAAGATACTTTCTAAGCCAAGAGGTAGATGAGAGGGAACCTAGACCCCTCAGAAACACCAATATTATTATGTTGCTGTTATGTGAAAATCTTCCCAGTATTGGGAATTTCCAAAGTAGATGTCACACTGAATTTTACTTTTAATGACATTAATTTTAAAAGAAATCAAGACATTGGTTCAATAAAATTTTCTTACTGAAGGATGTGTGAACTGAAATGTGAAAGATAAAAGATTCAAAACCTTGAATTTCAGTTCTTGTCAAAAAAAATGTTTTTGCCTGAGCCAGGGTGTATAAACCTTATATTAAGGTCATTATTAAAATGCTTTGGAATTTACAAGTTCATTTCCCTCAAGAGTATCTAAGGCTATGGTTCTTAACTTCTGAGCAGCATAGAGTAAAATAGTATTGTAAGGCATACAATATTGTAAATGATACAATCTCTGTTGAGAAGCATACAATTTATGTTACAATCACACTTACGTGATTGTATTTTCAAATCTTTATTCAGAAGGTATGTAACTGTGTATCCACATGGTTTAAGAAGAATTGAACAAAATGTTTTATTTGGTTTTCCTAGAACAGAACTACTTTTGTAGATATTTGCCCTAAGAAAATATCTTTTCCATATACTAACTTTTCAAGAGAAACACTTGATCCTGAAATGATATATTTTACACTCTTTTAAAAAAGCTATTATCTTTAAGTAGTTGTACAAAGGATATGCATATAACAACGTAGCTTATTAATACAGTGCATCTTGATTAGTCCTCCTTCAACATTCTCATCCCCTTCAATTCTTCTTTCCCTTATTTTTCTTAATTTTGTGATATATATAATGAATTCTTGGCTGCATTCTCCCCTTTGTCTACCCCCTTTCCCTCGTTCCCCACCCTCAAGTACTCATTTCCTGATGTCAACTTTGTTGGGCTTTCATCTAGTCTTTTTGAAAGATTATACTATTTGAGCTGTCCATGGAATCTATTTTGCTTCAATTAATTTATTTGTACCCACTTGCATACCACACAGTGTTTACTTACAGATTTATAGGTATATTCTATCTATCACAAATGAGGGAAACCATGCAACCTTTTTTCTCTGGGTATGGTTTACTTCACTTAATATAATTTTTTCCAAATCTTTCCATTTTCTTATAAATGGTATGATACCATTTTTTCTAATTGATGCATAAAATTCTATTGTGTGTATATACCAACTTTCCTTGATCTGTTCTTCCATTGATGAGTATCTGGGTTGAATTCATATCTTGGCTATTGTGAATAATGCTACAATGATCATGGTTTTGCTGGTAGTTTTAAGGTAGCTTTGTTTGTGTTCCACTGGATAAATGCCTAGGAGTAAAATTGCTGGGTCATAGGTAAGCTCTCTGTGAAGTCCTTTGAGGAACCTCCATACAGCTTTCCAGAGTGGCTGAACAAGTTTACATTCCCACCAGCATGGTATTAGAGTTCTCTTTCGGCTGCATACTTGCCAGTACCTATTTTCTTAGTTATGTGATGTACAGTATTATTCTTTCACTAGTAAAACTCTGGGAATTTGGTTGTGAGAATTTCAATAAAATCTTAGTCGTTTCTCACTACTTAGTTTCTAAGATTCTTACTACTAAGTTTCCTGCTTGGATTAAGAAAGCATCCCTAATGTTTTACAATTGTTATCCCAGAATAAGAACTAAAAGTTTCCCCAGAGATACTATATATAACACTTTGCTTTGTTTTTTCTGTATGTTTTCTGATTATATTTAAGTTAAAATTTTTAATCATACTAAGTCATAATTTTGGCTACATGTCCCATGCCAACTATGTAGCTATTTTGATAAACATGAAACACTTGGAATAGGTACTTAATAGTATTCACATAAATTTCTACAAATGATGGTTTTCGTTAAACCAGTGCCAGGTTATTATACTTAAAATTAATTAAATGTATTTTATTATACATATGGTTTTAACTTTAATCTCTTTCTTAATATCTTTTTTTATTTTCTTTAAGTACTTGTACAAAGAAGCTTCCATTCAAAAAATCAGTTTATGAATACAATGTACTTATAACTTGTTCTTTACAAAACTTCTGGCATATCAGGTAATTTGTGCTTTGTTTTAGCTATGTCCTTTGTGATAGTATGCTAATTATATACTCAATACATCATATCTGGGTTTATGTTACTCTTGGTTTGTCTATCTTAAAGAAATCAATTTTACTACTACTTATTTGATAAACAAGGGATTTACTCTATATTAACCTTTTCTCTTGTTTTCTTTCTTTGCTTTTTACTTTTCATTAGCTTCATTATTAATAAAATATTAGACTTACAGAGGTATAATAAAAATAGTTCAAAAAGTCCCATGTATTTTTTTTTTTTTGTCGGTCATGGGGCTTGAACTCTGGGCCTGGGCGCTGTCCCTCAGCTCTTCAGCTCAAGGCGAGAGCTCTACCACTTGAGCTACAGCGCCACTTCCGGTTTTCTGGTGGTTTATTGGAGATAGGAGTCTCATGGTCTTTCTTGCCCGGGCTGGCTTTGAACCGCGATCCTCAGATCTCAGCCTCCTGAGTAGCTAGGATTACAGGCGTGAGCCACCAGCACCTGGCCAAAAAGTCCCATGTATACTTTATCCATCCTATCTTTTTTTGAATATGTTATATAATCCTAGTACACTTACCAAACTAGAATGGTAATACTAATCCAATAATATTGAACTAACCTACAGGCTTTATTTTATAACTCAGCAGTTTTTCCCTAATGTTATGTTACTGTTTCATAATTTAATTCAGTATATCATTTGCATTATCATCTCTCCTTAATTTTCTCCAGTCTGTGATCATTTCTTGGCCTTCTCTTGTCATTCATGATCCTGACAATTCCACAAAGGTTTGTCCAAATCAGGCATGTATGAGTAAGCTTGTGATCTTAGTCATGCTTGATTCAGAGAACAGGGAAATATATTCAAAGCCAGACTTGGCAAAAAACTGTTGCTAGACTAGATCACAAACCAGTGGCTGAGTGCAGCACTACGTGCCTGCTATCCATTCTATCCCTTTCATTCCATTCAAAAGCCCATTCTTAAAATCCTTTTATTTTTAAATCCATCTTCCCCCTAGACACCATGTAACAAATTCATCTCTATCCTAGATATAAACATACTTAGATACATTTGGACTACTACTTTATTTCTAGTTTAATAATATTTCAAATTACTGTACTTCAGTGGTACAAGGGTGTTATCTTCTCTAGATGTAAACTGTATTTTCAGCGAGTTTGTTGTCTCTGTTATATGTTCTAACTGATTCATCCTAAAGCAACTTAAAGCTAGGTGGAGCTGTAGTTTGTCAGCAATACTACTTGACTATCACATCACTTTGCCATAAAACTACTCTAAGAAACAGCCATGATATTTTTAGGTTAGATCAGTGGTTGGATAAGAGTCTCTCACTTCCCTGTTTCACCAGTAAGTACCAAGGCTATCAAATATATAAGCTTCAACCAACCCACTTTACTACACACAATAACCAAGATGATCACCAAACAGATTTCAGTGAGGGTCATTTATTTTATTCCTACTGTCTCACAGTATATCTTTAATTAATGTCAAGTGGTTTGTATTTTAGGACTTAGTGTCCCCAAAGAAATGCACTGATGTCAGGGAAATTCCTTTAGGATCTGAAGAAGTCTTTAAATTTGCAAGTATAATAGACATAATTACTACCACTGACCTAGTATGTGAGATCTTCATTTCCTCAAACCAAGCTTTTTGGAAAACAAGGTACATATATATTCTAACACCTTAACAATAAAGCAAACAATGCACTAGCAAAAACCTCTTTGTGAAATCTAAGAGAAGCTTCAAATTAAATTTTATTGCTAATTATACTACTCATAAATACATGTCTTCACATTGCTAAAAAATTTTCATTTGTTCCAAAATTTAATTATTTTCTATCTTTCTATAGTCAATATTGAGTGGCATTTGGTTCTAAGATGAAGTAATAATATGGTAATTCATCTGTATTTCTCATTATAAAATTTCAAATTATATAGGTAAAATTACAGAAAATCATTTAAGTAATAAAGGCATGCAGACAGTAATTTGTCAATGCCTTTATAGATTATATACAGTACTTTTATATTTTAGAAGTTTTACATTTAATGCTTTGGAATAAAGAAGTTTTTATTGTTTTCTTTTTAATGCTTTGATTATGGAAATATAAACTCATTTTGACCACAGAATTTATATAATAATGTTCATCAGTTATTATGTCCTAATGAGTCATTTAAATAACAAATATATGACAAAAATCAAAAGAAATTTTGATTTCAGAATTTAATTTCAACTTTATGCAGAGAATTATGGAGATAATTTCAAATAAATTCCTGAAAAGTGATAAATAGCTTTCAATGACTTTTCTCATTTTGTGTTAAAATTCAGAGAGTAACGATCCATCATTTTGCTAGCTTTCTAATTCTGTCCACATATATATTCTTATTGCATTTTTTTAACTTTACTGTAAAGGTGAGGAACAGTGGGGTTACAGTTACATAAGATAAAGATCAGATAAAGAGTACATTTCTTTTAAAATACTGTTCCCCCCTCCCTAATTTTCTCTTGATTACCACTTCCCCCCTCCTGATCCCCTTCCTACAACTCACCCTCTTCCCTACCATCCCCCCATCCCACAAGATTATACAACAGGACAAAGGACGAACCAATGCAACAATGATACTCACTAGACACTATGTTGGAAATGAACTTTACAACCCTATTGCATTTTATGATGAAACAGAAAAAAAGTTCAAAACTTACATTTTAATTTAAAGAAAGATGCTATTTAAAAATTACTGATTTGTATGGTATTTTCACAATTAAAAAATAAAAGAAATTTCTTTAACTGTTATGAAAGAAAAAAGGAGCAAAAAATTTTAAACATTCAATTAAAACCTTGTATCTTCATAATTCCTATCTTGACAGACAAGGTAATAATGAATGGGAACAACTACACGACTGAATTTACCCTCACAGGATTTACAGATAAGGAAAACCTAAAGATAATCTTGTTTGTGGTGTTCTTTGCCATCTATCTGGTCACCATGGTGGGGAATCTTGGATTGGTGGCCTTGATTTACATGGAACGCCGTCTTCACACACCAATGTACATCTTTCTGGGAAACCTGGCTCTCATGGATTCCTGCTGTTCCTGTGCCGTTACTCCAAAGATGTTAGAGAACTTATTATCTGCAGACAGAAGGATTTCCCTCTATGAATGCATGGCACAGTTTTATTTTCTTTGTTTTGCTGAAACTACAGACTGCTTTCTTCTGGCAGCAATGGCCTATGACCGCTATGTGGCCATTTGCAGCCCACTGCAGTACCACATCAAGATGTCCAAGAAACTCTGCATTCAGATGACCGCAGGTGCCCTCATTGGTGGAAACGTTCATTCGATCATTCACGTAGGACTATTATTTAGGTTAGCTTTCTGCAAGTCAAATCACATCAATCACTTTTTTTGTGACATCCTTCCATTATATAGGCTTTCCTGTGTTGACCCTTACATTAATGACTTGATGATACTTATTTTGTCAGGGTCAATTCAAGCTTTTACTATTACTGTAGTCCTAATATCCTATTTCTGTATTCTTTTCACTATATTCACAATGAAATCCAAAGAGGGAAGAGGCAAAGCCTTATCTACCTGTGCATCTCACTTCTTGTCTGTGTCAATATTCTATGGCTCTCTTCTCTTTATGTATCTTCGACCCAGTTCAGCTAATGAAGGGGATAAAGACATATTTGTTGCTGTTTTTTATACTGTAGTAATTCCTTTATTAAATCCCTTTATTTATAGTCTTAGAAATAAGGAAGTTACAAATCTTGTGAGAAAGATTATGAAAAAGATAATTTTATAACACTGTAAAGCAAGTACCTTCTGTCAAGGAAACATTATATATATAGTGTATGTGGGGGGAATATCATACAGAGGGGTTACAATTACATGAGCAAGGTAATGAGTACATTTCTTATCAAGCATTATTGCCTCCTCCTTTGTTATTTCAACTTAATAACACATATTATTATTTTAGAGGTAGTAAAAACATTTTTTTCTCCCCAACCCCTCCCCTCCGTCCCCCCCCCCCCCCCCCCCCCCCCCCCCCCGCCCCTGCCACGCCAAAGTTTGCCACTTTGTACTCAGAACTTTGACTCATTAAAATAGGGTGGCATCCATCTCAAGATGTTTCAGAAAGACAACATTCTATTAAAATATACTTGCCAATATAAGTAATAGTAGGATCCATCAGAAGTGAACTAAGGTATTGTAGTAAAAAATTACTCTCTTAAACAATTTACTCTCAAATTTTTTTTTGCTTTTCATTTTTTTATTGTGAAAATACTGTACAGAGGGGTTACAATTACATGGGCAAGATAATGAGTACATTTTTATCAAGCATTGTAGCCTCCTCCTTTGTTTCCCCTTCCCATCCCTTCCCATCCTCCCCCAACCCCACCCAATACTCCCCCGTCCCCGCACCAAAGTTGTAAAGTTCGTTTTCGACATAACGACTTGTACATCTCATTGTTGGAATGGGTCCACCTGTATCCCCATTTAAACGATTTGTTTTTCCCCTTCCCCTCCACAAATTATACCGACATCAAATACAGTGAAAGCAGGGGTTATACTGTGGGGAAGGGACATACAAAGCAACAAAGAAATAGTCTTATAAATGTGTTAGAAACAATCGCATGAAAAGAAAAAAATATTTGAGTACATATCTTAGGGTTCATTTATTAGAGTATTTTTGTGACATGGTTGTGATATGTCTGTCTGTGATTAAAAATTATGGTCTTCATAATAAAATGATTTGTGTGTTTATTTTTACATAGACTTTGTAACGTTGCCATCACATGTGACACTCTATTGACTGATTATCTATTAAATCAAAGTGTTTTATGCCTTTGTTAGTCATTTGTGCTTTGTTAGTCATTCGGCTTTCCCAAAGCCTGAACTGACTCCAGTCAAAACTCTCAACACCTTCATAGCATTTACAAAAGATGAATATATTTGCAAATAAAGAATGAAATCATGAATAGCTAAACAAAAATAAACAAATATTAGGAAAAACATTTAATTGAAAATGTACTATCCTCTGGACATTAAGCTATATATGTCTTAAATACATATATGTGAGTGTGTATATGCGTATATATATATATATATATGTGTGTGTGTGTGTATGTATGTTTGCAAAATCATTGCTCTATATATATACCATATAAACATATATGTATAAAACTGCATATTTACTTATATACATATCCACATACATGAATACAACAACCAAATACAACAACTAGACTTTTTAAATAATTTTCTTGAATAAAGTTCTATACATTAAAATAATGAGTAGCTTGTTTATGTTCATCCCAACAGGTATGATGGAATTGAAGTTGGCATCAATATTTCCTTTTTCTATAAGCTTGATTATAGGGGAGATAGATAATTTCATTTCTGGTAATTGATTATTAAATAGCATTGAAAGTAAATTGTACCTTAAAATGAAGATGTTTTTCAAACCTACAGAAGAGGCTAGAAAATCTGGTAGTTAATATCAAATATCCTCTAGACCTTGTCGTGATTGATCACGAAATTCATCATGTCAATTTCTATTGGATAATTAATTGGATGACCTGATCTAATTATTACCTTATTACTTTGTTAGTCTTCAATTACTAGGTCATACAAAGAAGAAATTTATGCTTTATATTCATGTGATATAACAAAATCAGGAGATATGTATACAACAGGGTTCAGAATATAACAGGAATTATTCTGCTAATAAGCTAAAATTCGCTAGTGAAGAGAATAAAGCCTTATTTCCAAGCAATAGGTGTATTAAGTTTGGATTAGCTTATGAGTATATTCCATAAACTTTAAATAAATCCCATATGCCTTCACATCAATTACCTGTTTCTAATTTTGTAGTTCTTCTGAGACAAAAATATGATGAAACTTTTCAAAATAGATATCAAACAGATATCCAGAGACATCTGTTTTCTGACTTAATTATAAAGGGTCCAATAAAGGGTTATGTGTTGGATACTTCAACAAGATTTCATGATGTTTTTACAGTTAGAATTTAATGTACAACTCCTCTTTTAAAGGACATTATCAGAATCAAGCCCACTGATTTCCTTTCCCTATTGCAATCCTACCAATATTTTTTATGTATGTCTTCATCATCTACCTTAAATTTTATGTAGAATTTCACACAACCGCTGATGAGACTTACTTATGATATTATATAACTTAATTGACACCAGGGAGACAAAGTGATTATTTTCTGGAAAAGTGATGATGTATATTGTTTGTGTTCGATTCAAGAGTATTTTTAGAGGGTTGGGATGAGTGGCTCAGTTGGTAGAGCACTAGCCAGCGAATGAAGAGGTCGGGAGCTAAGTTTGTGTTCCACGCTCAGAAAACAAAAAGAAGAGATTCTTTTTACTGAACCCAGAAATCTTTCTATCCTTATATTCTGTATCTTGGTTATGTTTTTTTGAAAACTGCATGTTACTTTGGTCATCATTCCATTGTGCACTCTTGAATAATATCCATAGCAGAAATGTCTCTTTTATAATTAAATCAATCAGTATTGAGGGCTATGAACAAATCAACAAGATGAAGATAACCATCAAACGTTAGTGAAATTGTTTTACTTTCTTGTCTCACAGGACAGCTTCAATTAATTTCATGTGGTTTGTATCTTTAGCACTTTCAAAATGCATTGATGTCATTGCAATGAATTCCCTTTGGGACTGGATGGAACAGTTTAACTTCACAATGTAAGGGTCATAATTAAGAACAATGACCGAAAGGTTGCCTCTAAGATTGTTATTCATCTCATCCTGAATACTTTGGATAGCAAGGTGCAAGTACACATTACAATTCTGACACCTTCACCATAAAGCGAACAACGCATAAGCCAAAATCTTTTCTCTGTAAAAAAACAAAAAGAAGGTAAGGAAATTACATTAATTTTAGCCACGATATTTACTTTTCAAAATTAAAAACAAAGTAAGGAAATCACATTAATTTTAGCTACTATATTTACTTTTCAAAATTGTTTTTACCTTTTCAATATTCTGAAATTTCAACTCCAATTTTAAATGCCTAGGTTTACCTTTTTAAAAAGTGAATAGTATGTAATTTTAGGATGAGGTATTACACTGTTACTCATTTTATTTTCTAAATAATGAAAAATGCAAATTATGACAGTGAAATTTAAATAATCCAGTCAAAATGTGTGGCATGCATATTAAATGTGATTTCTAATAACCATTTTTGGGGGAAACATATATATATATATATGTATATATATATATATATATATACACATATATATCTTAAGATGATTGCATTGAAATTGAGTGCCATCAACTCCACCAGAGTTGAGATTCCAAACAGCTCACTAAGGATCCGTTGTAGAGTAATGGAAGAAAGTTCAGCATTCCCAGATCAATAGCAAGGATCTCAGATTGTAATGAATTCTGTCTTCTCTCCATAGAAAGTTTTTGTGTTACTCAGGATTATAAACAGGGCAGGTCTTGTGCATGTTATCAGAGTCCTATGACAGCTATGCCCACAGCAGCCCCATAGTACTGCATAATTCCTGTCTCAGAATTATCTAAATATAAACCTGAAGACATTTATTAGTAATAAAGAAATAGTAATGATACATTTAAAAGCAAAATCAATACAGCTTTTAAAGAAGAAATTATAAATTTTCCTGTCTAAAAGACATGCTTCACAATTCAGAATAGGAGATTGGTACAGCCTGAGTTATTCAGACATGACTTTACTATGTAGCACTGTACATGAATTATGGCACATAATGGAGAAAAGACTGAGATATTTGTAGAAAATGGGAAATAATGACAAGAAATGGTGAGTCTTTATTAAAATAGATGTTATTGTGAAGAAAATCAATCACACGTAACAATATATTGTAATTTATTTCTTTATTTATAATTTCACTTTTGTTCTCTTTAAACCAAAGTTATTTCACTTCAACATATGAACTTTTGTAACAATAATCCAACCTGATTCGCATTGTTTATTTCTTTAGCTTTCCAAAATAATTATCATTGAAGATGAACATTGTGTGAGCTCTGATATATTCATTTAACATGTATCTCTAACATGCTTCCTAAAAATATACATTCTAGAAGAATGTATAAAATTAGTTTTCCACATTAAAAATAATCTCTACATCTAGGATAGTGGATTGTAAATTTTTATTAGAAAGCTTCAAAAACTGATATTAAAATTATTTAGTAACAAACCAATATATAGACCCCTGTATATAAAGATGCAAGATATAAAGAAACACATTGTACAGTTTGAACATCCTCCTGAGATTCTTACGACAAATGTTGGTGAATTATCCTCCTTGGATATGTTGGTGAATGTTGACATAAGAGAGAAGTCAATGATACTGACACTAAGAAAAATAATGTCCAAGATTACAGGTAACTGTATTCTACTGACAGCCATGAAAATAGAAAATAATCTATCATTTTTTTAAATGAATGAAAATATGAGTGCTCTCAATTTGAATTTATATCTAACCGTAGTCTCAACAGATGAACTAAGGATGACTGAGGACAACGACTCTTCCATAACTGAGTTCATCCTCATAGGATTCACAGACCATCCGGAGCTGAAGGTCCTCCTGTTTGTTGTGTTCTTTGCCATCTATCTGGTCACCATGGTGGGGAATCTTGGATTGGTGGCCTTGATTTACATGGAACGCCGACTTCAAACACCAATGTACATCTTTCTGGGAAACCTGGCTCTCATGGATTCCTGCTGCTCCACTGCCATTACTCCAAAGATGTTAGAGAACCTGTTTTC